CCCTTCCCTCATACCCTGTGAAGTATGTGGAGGGCAGGGGTGACATGAGTAAGGCATTGTCTCCGTTTCTCCACAGAGCAAGTCTACTCTTGGTACCTCTCCTGCCTCTCCCCTGCACCAGGGAAAGAAATCTGACACAGGGTCACGAGAGCTTCGTGGGCTGCTGATCTTGGTGATCTTGGCCAGTCCGACCCTCCTGGAGCCCCCTCTCACTGGGCCTGTGGTGCAGAGCACATGCTACTGGTCTTGGGCCCTTCATCCTCTGGCTCAGCTTTTGGGCACATTTACAATTAGTAGATTATGAGGATGGCATCAGATAGCCGTCAAATCATTAAAGATTCAGAGTGATCCCGGGAAGGGTGAAACTAGTCACGCTGTCTCCTCACTGCTTCCCTGACTTGAGCCCTGTGCAAGTGTGCAGGATGCTCAGGGCCTCTTGACTTCCCCGTGCAAGAATCAGAATGGTGAGGCCCAGCCCAGAGCTGCTTTCTGCTCCAGAGGCAAAAGAACCACTTTGTGTCGGCCCTGGAGAGTGTCACAGAGCCTGGATTCTACCCTGTGGTTGCAGGACCAAACGGTAGGGCACCCTCCCTCCCTCCAGACCCATCCTGTCTTCCAATCAGAATCGACCTCTAAATCGGAAGGAATCTTGGCAGTCACATGATTACACTGACTGTCTTGATTCTTAGCCCCTGTGGTTGTGTGGTTCCATCCTGAATAGCTCCAGCTTCCCTTCAGCTGCCCCTCCCATCCCTTGAGTTTGTGACTTTTGCCACTGGCCATTTGCCAACTGGTTTGCCAAAGTTATGAATTGAACCATGTCGGGTGTAAAAACCAAGAAGCAAGCAAATCCATTGTTGTGAAGGCATTTCCGATTCTCAGAGACCCCATAAGACAGTGGAGAAGCCCCATGTCTTGGGAGGCTGAATTCTTCACAGTAGCGACTGCCACACCCTTTTTCCTTGGCACCTCTAGTTGGCTCAACCGTCGACCTTGCGTGCAGACACTTCACCTCTGCACTGCCAGGCCTCCTGCAGTATGTGGAGAAGCCAGTACTCTTTAATGGGTACTGAAAAAAGCCCTGGGTTCCAGCTGGCCTGCGGAAGAGAGAAAACAAAAATGTTTCAAGAGCAGAAAGCACAGCATTTCCGCTGAAGAAGTGTACCTGTTAGTTGTGGAAACTGAGATGTGAACACATATTGATTTGAAGAATAGTTTGAAAAAGAGTCCCAAAATTAAATTAGCGCCCATTAATATACAAATCAGGTGTCCATAGTAAGCACTCCCAGGCAGTGTTCGTATTTGAGGTCATAGTGGAGACCTCCAAGGTAACTGTTGAAATAGACGGTTTGAATGAGTGTTTTCACATTGGTTTTGTTGTATGAAATTAACCAGAGGTATGGAGTAATCGTATGTGGGCTAAGATTAGGCCAGACTAGGGAGAGGGTGTGTATGAGGGTCTGAATTGAGGAAAGTTTCTGAAAATGGACATTATACATTATTGATTGGGCAGAATTGAGTCAGTCCTACGCTGCTTTGAGACCTTTGTTGGTCTTCTCTGTCACCCACATGTAGGGGCTCTTAAATGGCCTGGAAAAGCCAACCTAGCAACCTTTAGTTCTAGTCTCTGAAGCTTACCTATTAGACTGTGAGGATATTGAAATCCACTGCATATTTGGTATGTCACCTTTTCCCTGTTAACTTTAGGGCGTCCCAGGAGGTGATTCCAGGTTACCCAGACCACTAATGCCTACCCCCACCCCTTTCTGGAGAGGAGAAGAGCCCAGCCTCAGAGCCTGGGGCACCATCAGGGTTCTTGTGGTGGTGTGTGAGGGCAAATGTGAGCAGCTCCAGATCCATGTCCTGACGGAGGGCAGCCATGCTGGAAGAATTAGGAAAGTGGCGCACTGTAGAAACCCCATCTTACAGGACAGAAGAACAATATATTTATTTAGAAAAGAAGGCAGGGACAAGGGAACAAGTGATCCAAAATCGATGACGAGGAGTGTGTAGGAGGCCTGGTAGGGCTTGATCAAGGGCGATGTAACCAAGAGGAATTACTGAAACCCAAATGAAGGCTGAGCATGATAGTGGGACAAGAGGAAAGTCAAAAGGAAATAGAGGAAAGAGCTAGGAGGCAAAGGGCATTTATAGAGGTCTAAATACAGGCATGTACATATGTAAATATGTATGAGGATAGGGAAATAGATCTATGAGCATATATTTATAGGTTTAGTATTAAGGTAGCAGATGGACATTGGACCTCTACTCAAGTACTCCCTCAAGGCAAGTACACTTTGTTCTATTAACCTGGCATTCCATGAAGCTCACCTTCCTGACAAGATCACTGAAGACAAAGCGGGTGCATAAGCAAATGTGAAGAAAGCTGAATGGTGCCAGGCCATCAAAAGAAATAGCGTCTGGGGTCTTAAAGGCTTGAAGATAAACAAGCGGCTATCTAGCTGAGAAGCAACAAAGCCCACATGGAAGAAGCACACCAGCTTGTGTGATCACAGGTGTCATGATCAGGCATCAAAAGGATCAGGTATCAGGCATCAAAGAACAAAAAGTCACATTGTAAATGAGGGTGAGTGGAGACACCAAACCCATATGTAGGCAACTGTACATCCCCTTACAGAAGGGTCTAGGGAAGGAGACAAGCCAGTCAAGGTGCCAGTATGGCAATGGTGAAACATACAACTTTCCTCTGGTTCTTTGATGCCGCCTCCCCCAACTATCATGATCCCAGTTTACATTAAAAATCCCACTGGACCAAATGATGTACACTGGTACAGATAAGAACTGGAAACACAGAGAATCCAAGACAGATACACCCCTGAGGACCAATAATGAGAGTAGCGATACCAGGAAGGGAAGGGGAAGGTCGGGGGAGAAAGGGGGAACTGATCACAAAGATCTACATATAACCCCTTCCCTGGGGGACAAACAACAGAAGTGGGTGAAGGGCGACATCAGACAGTGTAAGACATGACAATAATTTATAAATTAAATCAAAGGTTTGTGGAGGACAGGGAGCGAGCGGAAAAATGAGCTGATACCAAGGGCTCAAGTAGAAAGAATTTTTTTTAAATCATTTTATTAGGGACTCACAACTCTTTTCACAGTCCATACATACATCATTTATGTCCAGCACATTCATACATATGTTGCCATCATCATTCTCAAAACACCTGATATCTATTTGAGCCCTTGGTATTAGCTCTTCATTTTTTTGCAAAGAAAATGTTTTGAGAATGATGATGGCAACAAATGTACAAATGTGCTCGACACAATAGATGGATGGATTGTGATAAGAGTTGTACAAGCCCCAATAAAATGATTTAAAAAGAAAAGGCAAGGCTTGACATTTCTTTCCATTGGCCAAGATTGGGGGGCGCTGTGAGAGGGGTGCATTTCCTGCAGGCCTCCTCCAGCACATTGGATTCCTTTGCCCTTCTAGATAGTAGATGTACTCCTTTCTCGTTAGGCTGCTAACCACAATGTCAGCAGTTTGAAATCACCAGCCACTCTTCAGGAAAAATAGGAGGTGTTCTACTCCCTGTAAAGTTTCAGTCTCGGAAACCCACAGGGGCAGTTGTGCCCTGCCCTTCAGGGTCGCTGGCTAGGAGTTGGCGTCCACTCCATGGCAGTGCCTTTGATTTTGATCTGGCCGCCAGCCAGGACTGAGGTTGCTGTTAGTTGTTCCCCTGCCTCTCTTTCATTCTCACATTTGAGGGGCTGCACCAGGGAGCTCCTCCCTCGTGTCATCTCTGTGGACCTTTGGAAGTACGAGCTGGAGGGAGCAGCGGGACTGCCTCCTGTGTGTGTGACTGTTGTGTCCAGCCTGTGCTGTCGCTCTTCATTACTGCATCCCTGAGATGTCTCCTTCCTTTCCACCCTGCCCCGCACCCCACCCTTTAGTTTCCTGGAAATGAAAGAGGGGGGTGGAAGAGAGAAAGAATGGAAATTCCCATTGCAGCCCTCTCTGCTGTGCGGTGGTTGAGATGGGGTTGGGAGACACACAGAGAGGGGAGTCAGCCCAGGAGGGAAAAGCCCAGAGACTGCTGAGCCCATGGTATGGGCCTAATTACTCCTCTGCCTTGAGCTTGCCTGTCATTGTGGTTTCTGGGAGCCAGCTCGGACTGGAAATCTGCTGGAACAGCAGAGATTTGGGGTTTCCGCCTGGGATGGAGTTGAATTTTCCACTTGGAACAGCTTGCCCAGCACCCATTTTCTGTTGGGGGCAGGGGCAGGATGAGTCTCCAGAGCTCAAAAGGGCAATCAGGGCAGTCTTACAGGGTACAAGGTCTTCTCTTGGAACCAAGTAGGAGCTTGTATGCCCCCAAATCATGGGCCTTTTGAAAAATCCAGAGAATTAGTAGATAGTAAGGTCTGGTGAAAAGACCCCTGAAGATCTTAGCCTCTTAAGGCCTCAGTTTCCCCACCTGTCACTTGAGTTGAATTTCTGCCTTCCTAAAAAAGAGAGGAAAGTGCTGGGAGCCGTTTAAATCCTTTTTCCCCACTGTGGTACATATAAATGTAATAGCATATTTTGAGCAGTTGTAGTATGCCTGTGCTTCAATACTAATGACTCCTGTTACTTAATCTCTAAGGTAGTTTCTAGTGTCTGCTAGAGATAAGGATACCTGAGGTTGAAGGGTTAAATACCTTCCTTGCCTGGGGTCACACAGAGAGAGTCTGAAGCAGTGTTTGGGCTGCTGACCTGGGGGTCTGATTCCAAGCCTGGAACCTGGCCACTTGGCCAGCAGACCTGTAAGTGGTTGTCTGCATTATGGTAATTTTACACTCGTGCCAGGAAACACCCAGAGCCCGGCTGGTTGAGTGAGGGTTGGCTGGAGGACTTTAGAGTCAGGGCATCCAAATTGAAGTCCTAGCTCCACCCCTCACCCAACCTGAGACCCTAAGCAAGACCTTTTTCTTCTCTGAACTCCCCTCTCCCCATCTGTACGTTAAGGTCAGTTCAGAGTTGTTCTGATGATCAACACCTGCCCGCCAGCAGATGCTTACTAACTGGGCAAAATCGGAATTTGATGAAGGAGGAAGATGCAGCCACCCCCTCGCCGGCTGGAGTTTGCTGTCTGGGATTTCAGAAGCCTGGCGTAGGTTGCAGATGGCTTTGTGGAATGATGAGGCCTTGACGTGAGCATTTTTTATGTGTTATAAATAAGTCAGTCCTAACAGTTCTATAAAATAGGCATTACTCTTATACCCATTTTACAGATGGGGAACAGAGGAGTTAGAAACTGTGTCTGCGGTCACATAACTAATACACGGCAGGGCTAACATTTGCACCTGAGACTTCTGTTCATACTGTCTTGGCACAGTACCACCTCCCAGCTGCTGGCAAGTTCGTTCCAGCTCGTGGCGACCGCACGTGTGACCGACCCAGAGTAGAACTGTGCTCTGTAGGGTTCCCAGCGGCTGCTTTTTCAGGTGTACGTTGGCAGACCTTTCCTCTGACGCACCTCTGGATGGGCTCAAACCACCTCGTTTCTGTTAGCAGCCAAGCGCATTCACCATTTGTACCACCCAGAGACTCCTTGCCCAAGTAAACCCTTTAAAAAAGTTTTTAAAAAAATTAAAGCTAGTGCTTATCATCATCATTAGAATCCCATCTATGAGTTCACCAGTATTTATTGCTAAGAGTGCCTGCTTGTGCTGGTAATTGTAGATTTTGCCAATAAAGTACCGTATGTGGTAGGATTTCTGCTCATCTCCAGTTGGAGGGAGGCTTGATGAAATAATTTGAAGACAATCAAGTGGCAAGTAGTACAATATGGACTCAAAGTGCAAAAGAAATGGATTTTGTTACGGAAGACGTTTTGGGGAAGTCAGACTAGTTAGAAAGTTTCCCAGAGGAGGTGGTACTGGAGTTCAGTTGCAGAAAATTGGGGTAGAGGGCAAGGGTGAGCTACTTTGAGCAGTGGATTTTAAGAGAAGTTAGAATTTCAAGGTTAGTTATTCACCATTGAACACGTTTTCATTGAGTGTGTACTCTGGGCCTGACTTGATAAGGAGCCCCAGTGCTGTGAGTTAGGCTAACCACAAGGTGGGCAATTCGAACCACCAGCTCCATGGGGAAAAGATAAAGACCACCAGCCTCAGAAACCCTGGGCAGGGGCACAGGAGTCAGAATCGACTAGAAGGCAGTGGTTTGGGCTTGGTGCTTGATTGGATGGAGAATAAGATCAATGTTGATTGCTCAATTGGTGGCTAATCTAGGTTGTTTCCTAGTAGATAATGTGAGATGCTGTTATTCCCCTGCTCAAGGTGGATCCTTGTCAACATAATAGAACCTCATTCTGTGGTTGGATCTGGATAGACTCAGGGTATGTATGCTAGAGCCCTTTTCAAAACTGCCAGAAACGCCCCTCCTTCAGGCAGCCTTCCCCGGGAACTCTCTGTGGACGACCACCCTATTCTTTGCGTCCTTCTGTCCTGCAGTCACATATCTTTGCCTTGGTTGTTATTAGGTGCCGTCGAGTCAGTTATGACTCATAGCAACCTGATACACAGCAGAGTAAAGCACTGCCATAGTTCTGCACCATCTTCATGGTTGTAACCACTGTCAGGCCATCTCGTTGAGGGTCTTGCTCTTTTCCACTGAGCCTCTAAGTTTACCAATCACATCCTCGCCTCTGGATTGCATTAAAATGAAACACATGTTCTGTGTATCACCTCTCTGACAAAATGCCAGCCCTGAAAGAGGGACTCCTGTCTTCTCCAGCACCCATACCTCCAACTACCCCCAAGAGTGCCTCCATAACCAATAGCCGAGCTCCTCATGGGTATTTTAAGACACATGGAGTTGGTCAGGAAGCTGACAGAGGGGGCCAGCCTAAGAGTATTAGGGTCAGTTTCCCCAGTGGCCAGATCCCGCTAGCTCTCATCACCAAGTGATCCACTTAGGATCTCTCGGATCCCTATTCCATCCTCTGATGTTGACAGCTGGGGCTGGAACCAGTGAAATGAGCTAGTTTCTAAACAACCACCTCCCACCCCCCCAATCTAAGACAGCCTCAAGCAACAAATGCAGGCATGTGCCTGCCTGATAGGAGGTGGACTGGGCAGACCACAAACCAAAAGAATGCTTTATTGGCCCCGCCAATCCACCCGTTTCTCTGTCTGTAAATGTAGCTTCTAGACATACACAGAGGCAACCTGCTGCTGCTCTCGCAGCTGGGGGGATTCCAGGGCATTTTGTGGGAAGAGATGGCTGTAAAGCAGTGGCCCTAGCAAGTGTTGCTGTGTCTTACACCCCTTTCCCGTGCTGCTATACGCCCAACAGCGAGTCAAATTCAGACAACATCTTGTGTCCTGGAATTGTAACAAGCATGTGTCCCATGTACTTATGCTCGGTTGTTGCTGTTGGTGTTGAGGCAATATGACTCCTGGTGACGCCAGGTGGTAGAGGATATCCATCCCACAGGGTTGTCTAGGCTCTTCCGGGAGCAGATTACTAAGTCTTTATCCGCAGAGTAGCCAGGGGGGTTTGAAGGCTGGAGGAGAATCCCCCACTCCCCGACTCCTACCCCACCCCTGTTGGCCATCTCATGTACTTTGGACCTGTTGTCAGGAGAGACCAATCCCTAGAGAAAGACATCTTGCTTCGTAAAGTAGAGGGGCAGCGTGGCAGTTACATAATCTCCTGTCAGCTTGAGCGAAGGTGTGGAGTCTAGCCTGTCAATCAGGTCATAGCTAGTGGTGTCTCTGTGTGGGCATGGCCTTCTCCTGGGGATTCTGGGAACTCCTGTCTTCCTCCCTGGAGGGGGACACAGACTGTCCCTGCGAGACATTCCTGTTGACAAGTCACATGGAGCTATGCAGATAGAGCCAGAGCCCTGGAGTTGGAAGAGCCACGTTGAGACCCACACCAGTGCTGAGATACTTCCACCTTCACTGGATCCACAAGACTTTCCACCCACTGGCCTGTGATCTTCCTGCCTTCAGTTTCATTGCATGTGCTGCGTGAGTCTAAGGAGGAATTTATAGACTGGTATCGGACATAGGGGCTAATGTCGGATTCGTGGACTTGGTGTGGACTGGGCTGGGTTGTTTCCTTAATGTACAATTATTCTCTATATAAAGTTCTTTCTTTATACATTTAAGTGTCTATGGATTTGTTTCTCTAGTCAACCTGGACTGACACAGGCAGCAATATAAACAGGCAGGCCCTCGATGAAATGAGTTGACACAGTGGCCGCATCAATGGGCTCAGATGTAAGAACCATTGTGAGGATGGCGCAGGACTAAGCCATGCTTTGTTCTTTGGTACATAGCAGCGTCACTCTGAGTCGGGACCAACCCAATGGCACCTAACAGCAACAGCTGACAGGGCTTCCTGGAATCACTTGCTAAGAACGTGGGTGGGTAAGGGGCTGGGCCGCGCACCCAGTGCTGCTCCCTTTCCTCCCACCATTGCAGTTGGTTGCTGAGGCTGCTGGGTGTGGATTTGTGTCTGCCTCCAGTTACCTCAGCGAAGAGAAGGCCCCAGCCTCCCCGGGGCCAGCAGGGGACTGGAAAGAAGGGCAGACATCATGCTGTCAGTCCAGATTATCCTCATGAGTTTCTCCTGTTGTGGTTCAACCTCTGTGGTTTCAAAAAGACCAACTTTTCTTCTGCCACCCGGTACTTTTAAGTTGGAGTGAACCATGGGAAGCGGGGGAGGTGATTTAAAATCCCCTTAACAAAGTGAACTGGAAAGGTGAATCTCCTGAGCTAGCAACACACTTTTTACAAGTAAAAGCAGCTGCCCCCGCAGGACATTGCGCTCCATACAGATAGTGCTGGGCAGGCCAGGCAGCGCCAGCGGCACCAGGCAACTGTGCCTCACAGGTGAAATAAAACAGAACTCAACATGGCGAAGGCACTCCCAGGGACCCAAGAGGCACGCTGCCATCGTGTGTACTGTTTGGGCAAACGTGCTGGGAGAAGCACACACAGCAGCACTCAGATGCTTCTGTCGATCTCTGAGCGTGGAGCTGGAAGGCCATGTCTGCTCAAGAGAAGGGGACATTTGAAAACAATGGCTAAGGCGGACAGGGCCTATTATGAGAGAGAAATGAAAACATACATCCCTCTTAAAGGGGAAACCAAAAAGAAGTTCAAGGATCTTAATGTACCCAAGAGGCCTCCTGGACCCTTTTTCTTGTTTTGTTCTGAGTATCACCCCAAAATCAAAGGTGAGCACCCAAGCCTGTTCATCAGGGTCGTTGCAAAGATGATGTGGAGCCACACCTTGGCCTATGACAGGCAGCTGTATGAGACAAAGGCCGCTAAACTGAAGGAGAAACTCTTATTGCGGACCCGGCTAAAGGGAAGCCTGATGCCGCCAAAAAGGGAGTCATCAAGGCTGAGAAACGCAAGAGAAAGGAGGATGAAGAGGAGTATGAACAAGGAAGAGGACAAAGATGAAGATGATGATTATGATGAATAAGTTGGTTCTAGCACAGTTTTTTGTTTGTTCATTTATAAAGCATGTAACCCCCCTGTACACAACTCACTCCTTTTTTTTAAAAAGGAGCTGAAAAACTGTGTATGATTTGCTTTTAAACTCTGGTGTCTCTTTTTTGGTATAGTTAACACACTACGGAATTTGTCTTCGATAGGCCTGCCCTGGTGGTCTTTTTATTAGCCACTCACCTTGCCTCCTGCTGCAGTATGAGGGCTATAAATTGGCAGGGAAACTTAAAGCAGGTCCTTGTTGGTACACAGTACAAATCAGCTATATATGGGCATGGTTGCTTTTGTTTTGTTTTCATCTTCAATTGTCTGATGCGGCTTTTCCAAAATAACTTGTTCTGTTAACTGAATACCACTCGGTAATTGCAAAAAGAAAACAAAAGTTGCAACTCTTTTGTTGATATTCTGAATGCTTCTCAGTAAATACAATTAAAAAACAAAAAGTAAATGCAGACTTCTTGAAATGACATTCATTTGAGGTTACCTGTACTGTGCCTTGTCCTTTATTTGTGCCAGCACTCAAAAATTGATTCAACCGTTTCTTCTATCCATAGACGATAGAAAGTAAGTACACCATGCTCTATGGAGACCCAGCATTCTGAAAGTTTGTCCTAAAGTGATCATCACTTTACACAAGAATTTACTTTAAGACACATTATTACCTTTCCCAGAAGACT